AAAATAATTCGGAATCCAATATTTATCTTCAGCTTTCCACAATTATTCATTTTGCATATGTTTCCTCCTCCTGACTTCCAAAAATAAAAGCAATTTTAACTTACCTGTTAACAAGTTCTCCAGTTTTATGACTATCAAAGAAAGCAATGTCTTGACGTACAAGTGATGCAAACAGAGCATTTCGCATTCTTTCTGCTAACCTCTCACCAAGACAAGACAAAAATGAAATGTAAGCAAATGTAAGGATTGCCTGAGCTCCATAAATTGAGATTAGTTTCAAGGCAGGCTCTTTTAACACCTGAAAAAAGTCATTTGCATGACGACCACTTGACAAACTTGATACAGCATTGACTAAGTTTCCAAGCATCATTGGTAGTTCAATGTTTACCATGGCAACAGCAAAGGCACTCAAACTTGCTAAGAGAAGAAGCCAAATATCAGGCCAAAGGAATTTCCAAAATTCTCTGAATTTGAACTTTGGTTGCTTATTTTCATTTTCTTGTTTGTTATCATTGTGATGTGATGCTGATTTATGGCTCAGTTTTAAGCTACAGTTGGCATGAGAAATCTTGGACTTAACAACAAGTCCACCAACAGCAAAAAACCCTGCATACTTTAAAAAGGACCAGTGACCAGCAACTGAATTATTTGGTTTCTTCTCTGTGATCTTCAAAATGTGCAGTGATCTCCAACGTGTTAATAGGTCATCTACATTCTTCTTTGCAAAAAGCTGAATGTTGCGTTCTTCTCTGGGAATAAGAGGTCTGAAGCCCCTAAAGATATGATATGTAATAACAACATCAATCAATCAAGCTTTATTGAAAGAGGGTGACACACAATAGTTAAAAACACTAAATTTATATAAACAAAAAACATGCTCAAAGAATATAATCAATTATTAAATTGATATAACATAATGTAAAACATACAATAAAACTATAAACATAGATAAGGATAGGTACCTAAGGCTAACAATATATATAAACTAAAAAGACTAAAAACCACAATTTTGAAATGATGGTAGCTGCATATGCTTTTCATGAAAAGAAAGAAAATGACCAGCATGTTCATGAGCAGGGCCTCCTTTGTCTTTTTCTTGACTGAAGAGAAAACCTTGCAATTCCCCTGCAGTACGTCAGCCCAGACTCCTGGTTTTTTGAGTGTGAGCGTCCATTTACTAATAAACCTGATGGTCATAACTGAGTCTGCTGTACCAAGTGCACAGCTGTTAGGCCTGGGTTAGAAAGTGTGCTCTGGGACCCTAGCAACCCTCAGCACATGCTCATCAAAGATCTTACTCCATTCATGCAGGGACTTTCTCAAGTATGTCAAAAGCAAACAAGTGAAAGAAAGACTCTTCTGGCACCTGGGGTCATCAACGTTACTATCACTCATCTCAAAGGCTTCACGTGAAAAGTTCTACCTGTTCAAGCAAACAACTGTTCATGATAATTATGATATATTTGTCATCTCTGAATCGTGGATCGACCCTTCCTTGACTAATAACAACACCCAGATTCCAGGCTATGTAATTTTCAGACAGGATAGAGGCCTACATAAATCTGGGGTGGAATCGTTTTTAGATCAGAAACTCATTTGAAGCATCGATCATCGATAATTTGTCTACAACTAGAGACACTAATTCCCAACAATTTTGGCTTAAAGTCCAGTGCAGGAAATTGAAATCTTTTTTGCTACATGCTGCTTACAGGCCAGACTCAGTGTCCATGTCTAGATTCCTGGATGACTTCACTGCCTCCTTTATGGACTCACTTCTTCTAGGGATGAAAGTTTTAATAACTGGTATCTGAATGCAGGCATTTTGCCGGGCTCTTCTTGTCCTGAGGGCTGAGCTTTGATGGATCTCTGTAATTCATTAAATCTCTTGCAGATTGTTACAAGCCCAACAAGGACCAATGATACATCTTATGACTCTAACTGAGGTGGTGCTTACAACAAACAAGAGCTTTATTGCTGACTACAATGTAAATATCTCGGCAGTTGCCAATCATTGCTTGGTGGCAGTCAGATTAAATCTCAAAGCTCCAAAGCCTTGGCCTTCTTATATTTTCACCAGAAGCTACAAAAACCACAATCCTGAGTCATTACTGAGCAATTTGGAGTGTCTCCCTTTTTACATAATTTGTTAACATTTTCAACAATTTTGATGATCAAGTTGATGTAATCAATAAGTTATTCCTCGACACGCTGAGTGAACATGCACAAATTAAACGCATACAGATCTAGTAATGGCCGCATCCATTTATCACACCTGAGATCAAACAATAATTGATGAAAACCCATGACAGCTAGCATAAATAGGCCCATAAATCAAACGACAAACTCCACTGGAACGCTTTTCGATTTTTTAGACCGGAAGTTAAGCGGGAGATAAGATTCGCCGAAAAGGAATATGTTTGCTCTGAACTATTTAAGTGCAAGGGAAACACAAACTCCATCTGGAAAATTATAAATCGTTGCCTTCCCAACAGAGAGCCATCGCTGACTGCTGTAGAAGATCCTGTGGTCCAAGCAAACAGTTTTAATGATTTCTACATCTCGGTAGGGGAAGCTGCAGCTGCTAGAGCCAGGGCTCTATGCGAACAGTATGGCTTCTCAGAAGAGTCAGTCAGGCAAGTGGAGCCAATCACAGACGATCTCCACAATGTGAATAAATTTGAGTTTCACGCTGTGACAGAACAGGACATTGAAAAGATTGCCAAGCATGATTCCATCGAACAAAGTGCCATGGTATGATAGAGTATCTGCTAGAGTGCTTAAAGACAGTCATTACTAATCTAATTAATCCTTTGTTCACATTGAATTGCTTTGCACAGGCATCAAAGTCTGCAGAGGTCACCCCAAACCTCAAGTCCAGCGATTCTGATGAGCCCAAAAACACTTGCCCTATACCCCCCCCCCCCTCCCCCTGTATTGCCCTACATCAAAGGTATACGAGAGGGCTGCTCACATGCAGTGTATTAGTCTTACTAGATAAAAATAGAAAGATATCCAGCTTATAGCGTGGAAATAGAAAGTTACATTCCACTGAAACCCCCCTTTGCTCTACATGGACCAGCTCCTTAAGAATGAGGACAAAAAGCGTATATCACTTGTTGTGCTGCTCGACACATCTAAAGCTTTCGACAGCATCCAGCATGACAACTTATTATCAAAGCTGCACTCACTGGCTGTGTGGGACTCTACTTTAGCCTGGTTTAAGAGTTACCTATCATCATGCAAGCAAGTTGTCAGGATTGGCAGTGTCCCATCTGAGCCCCTCCCACTAACAGTGAGTGTGGGCCAGGGATCCATTCTCGGTCCAGTTTTGCTCATGTTGTCTGTCGACCTCCTTCTCTCAGTACTTAAGAAATGTTGTCGAAATGTCAGTCACTGTCAACAACAACAGTCCTGCTGAGGACTATGTTCACCCAGATGATCATACTCAGCCTACTGATGAAATGACTCCTGGGTTCAAACCTTTCACTGTTTAACTCATGTAAACAATTCTAGATATTCCTAACACATGTAATTGTTTTTGCTCCAATGAAATTTTATTATTGTATATTTTCTATTATTGTATGTATGTATGTAAAATGCCTCATGTCAAACATGTTTAAAAAACTATAATTAAACTAGAAGTTCTAAACTTCATAGGCAAGTTACTGCAGAGTTTGCTTGCAGTAAACGAAATCAGTGTTCAAAGTTTTGTAGCTATTTATAAAGATGATCATTTTAATTTATGCCACTATTACTACTACTACTGATAACAGTGCGAGAATTGCCAATACTGCTATTACTTTTTTGCTCTCTGATTTATTCATGCATCCATGCCCTTACTTTAAAGACATGGCGACACTGTGAGCTTATTATTTAAATTTAAGATTCACATTTACATAACAAGCCATATACCATCTCCTAAAATGAGAAATGGAACAAATCAACCATATTACAAATACGACAATTCAAGGAACTAGCCACCACCCAACCCCTCCCTCCTCTGTCTCCTTCTACTTCTACTTTATACATTATACTCAACAAGCTTGAAAGGTAGGTGGTTTATACACGCTAGCTATATTCGATACAGTCAAATTAAGTCATTTATAATAGCCTTTTTTCAGGCTAAAAATAATAAGAGCAAAGGCTAAATATTATAAACATGCTCCACATTGAGTGAAATCAGGATGCAGCAAGGTCAGCTGAAAGTACAGTATATGTATCGGAACAAATACCTTGCAAGTACTGTAATTCTTGGTAATCCAGAGAAACTATATCTTGGCAAATAGGAACTGCACAACTTCGAAGTAAAGAAAGGGTACATTTTATCACCATTACTGATAATACAGTTTTTTACCGGTCGCGAGAGCGATGTGTTTATCCGCCATCTTTGCTTTTCAGCCCCAGGCTACTACGAGCTTGAAGACGGTCGTGCAGTGAGCACAGGTATACCAACAAAAAAGGTGATCATCAATCCTTCGTAGATTTTAGTGCGTCCTCGACATGTGCTTAAAAGATGTTTACAATTACATAAAGGGTTTTTTCTGAGTTTCTGGCTGAAATTTCAACCGGATAAAATGGGCCGGGTTCCCGGGGGGAGGTACTTTAGGAATTTCTGGGTGGGGATGTGCCGCTGGGACCCTGGAACCCTTAACCTATACCAGAGCTAGTTCAGCTGAATTTTGCTACCCTATGCTAGAGTAAACTCCCCAAATCCCCCCTATCCTAGAGTAGCTGTTTTCCAGAAACTACTAAGGTCACTAGCACAGTAGTCTAGCCAAAACAAAACCTTATACCACAGTCCCTAGTCTAGATAAAATCTTCAACCAACTGTTCAGTTTCCTGAAAAACGATATCCTATTCTATACCTAAACGTTCTGATTTATATACCCTATCCTAGAGTAAACTGCTTGAAAAACATACCCTTCACAGCGGCACATACCTATATAACCTATATATGGCAGTATTCCCCCCCCCCCGGGGGGGGCGGGTTAAAAAACCTTATGTAATCGAATTCAAATATCAACCTTCGTGTTTTTAGAATAAGAAAATTGAATGGAAACCGCAGTTGACGCTAAAAATAACTTAACCAAACAAACAGCACTTTTGAGCAGTATTGCACGACTTTGAGCCGACTTTAAAACAAAACTAGATAAACTAATTTTGTAGTGTTGTGTAAATAATTTATGACCAGGGTTGCTCCAATAGGTCGTATTGATTGCCTCACTGCTGGACTTCAAGAAAAGTTAAATAAGTTTAATGGTCGTAATAAGATATATTGCAAACTTTGAACCAAATAAATAAGGCTTTGTAAATTGTAAAAACTTTGCACCAAATAAGGCTTTTACGTTCATCTATTTTCGTATTTTTTGCAATACTGTGCTTTAATTAAGATTCTAGCAAGCATACTTTGAGACCCGGGGGGGCACTTGGGTATTTTTTGGGTGGGTATGTGCCGCCCGGGACTCCAAATTGGCACCCCGTTCTAGAAAAAATTTCCCCTAAAACTGATACCCCGTTCGAGAAATAGGCCAATTTTTTATACCCCGTTCTAGAATTCGCCCTAAAACTAACACCCCGTTCTAGAAATGGGCCAATTTTTTATACTCCGTTCTAGGGTGCAACAAGAGTACAACGGTTTGCTTTTTAACGCACTGAACCGTATTTTTAAAAGCAATCTGTCCTTGAATGCTTTCAAATGGCTGCTCACAAAAGTGGAGAGTTTTCGTGCGTTCGAAATATCATACCCCGTTCTAGAAACCGCGTCTGAAATGGATACCCCGTTCTAAACCAGGAGCTTCAAAATCACGACCCCTTTGGGCGGCACATACCAGTATAGGTAATGTATGGGAGTACTCTCCCCGGGCTTTGAGATGACCACCAAGAACTGAATGCGCTTACAATACTGAACATTTTGTGGATCAGCCTACACTTGCCAGTCCAGAGGTCCGTTCTCCGGGGAAATAACTAGGATGAAATAAACCGTGCTCAAGGTTTGATAAAGCTGCGGAAGGGGACAAATTAGATAAGAAAAAAACCCTCTGGGCCCTGGGGTGTGGATTCCTTTCCTTCGGGCATAAATGGATGGTCTAATTTGTTTTCATTTAATTGCGATTGTGTGTGTTCCTTTGATCAATTACAATTTCAAATTTGATTTCAAGTTGGAAATTACTAAATTTAACCCATTTTATTACTTTTGACAGCAAACAGTCCGTAATTACAGCCTCATTTTCAGCCTTCAAGGGGCCAAGGCGGCCCCATTTAAACTTGGTAAAAGTTGACGTCGTATTGGACATTTTCTTCAGCAATCAAATGGTGGCCTGATGCGTACTTCTACAATTTAGGCGTTTACGCTATCGACTATTATTTTGATTACCTAGATTAAAGTTAAAAATTGATCTTGCAGTCTTTGCCGTTAACGTAAAAAAACTCCTTTTGTAAATGAAACAGTTCAGGATTAGAAAGGAATAGCTAAAAATACATATAAAAGTGACCTTTTCTGGAACTTTCGTCTATCTGGAGAATTAACAGACTGGGGGTATTTGATAACCCGTTGCTAAACTCCTTATTCAAAAATCTAAAAAGAACTGACGTCATTTACCATTAATTGACTTGCCTTTATTTCAGGGTGGTTTAAATCAATTTTGGTAGAAGGAAAAAATAAGTAATGTAGTGTTCGTAATCAGAGCACGTCCACCTAAGATATAATCAATAACAAACACCTTTAGAAATATACACCAAATTACATTTGCCCAAATTATTATAAATGAATCCCTACTTTGTAAAGTTTGTTCAAGGCTCTCTAGTTTAAGCGCAACCAGTAACCAGAAGGTCCGGTCGTGTTGCGTGGGAAGCGTGAATAATTAAAGTCGGGTAATTTGAGCGAGTAGAACTAAAACTCGAAAATTCTTTAATTTGCATTTGCGTTTAAAAGGTTACTAGCGGGAATCCACGCGCTATTTTCACCAAACACTATCAACAAAACTGGAATAACAATATAAGAAATACAAATAATTAACCTTTAGTTATTAATCCACGTTCGAATTATTGAAAAGGATCTTTATAATTGGCTGCAAAAGAAATACAAATATTTTTGTTTAAGTCGTTAGTCCTTAATATCTGTAAAGCAATTGAGGATACTGGCAAAACACCTGCAGCAGCTGCTGTCACTGAAGATGACTTCAAGATGAGTGGCACCCAGGCTGGATGAGTCTTTCTTGTGAAACATCTAACGAGTGCGGCGCTCGGACGGCGTGAAGGTTTGTTGCACTGGTTAAAATCGCACGCTATGAACTGGGTACTCGCCGACTTCGATCACGTCTTATTATCGCACCTTTATTTTTATAGCTTCTGATGCAGTAATACGTGAAACACGTGAACAAGGCTTGACTTATATCGAAGTTATTTATACATTATCAGATTGTAATAGAAATTCTGATCGAAAGGACTGTTTGTTTACGCAATGTTAAGGCAAGAAGAAAAACAACCAACTTTGCCAAAAGTGGCATGTACCCCGAGATCAAGATCAAAGAAGAGGAGAACACGTGAAGGAAAAAACGCGAAGAAAGTTACTACATCAACAGAAACGAAAAAGGAAAACAAGCACAGGCTTAAACATTCAACTGGTCACGATATGCAAAGAATCGATTCTGGTATTTCTGGTTTAACTGTGAAAAGATCTTTAAAAAGAAGTCAAATCGAAAGCTCGTCGCAAGACGCGGATCTGATTGACATCAGCCACGACTTTGAAATGCTGCAATTGCGTTGCGACGACATCAATGAAGACTCTCACAGCATGGTTGCAATAACTTCTCGGCCTTCGTCAAGTGCAACATTGAACCTTGACGAAGTTAATTTTAATCGCAATTTCGAAGATGATTCTGATAATGAAAACTTGAGGGGAAGTGAAACCGGAAAACAAAGAATTCCAACAGCCAAATATGACCAGAAAGGATATTCTACTAGTTTAGGTTTAGATAACAGTGAGTCTCCAAGGCTACAAGATATTAAACTTGAACAAACTGACACAGGTTCAAATAAATCTGAAAATCACAATATAACTTCGCCAAATACCGTGAAACAGATTGATCAGGGGAGAGAATCCGGACCTGAAAGAAAAACAAAATCAAAAGTTAAAACTGCTTGGGAGCTGAGCGATAAATTCCTTCTTACTACCGACTTTCCAGCTGATGTTTGGGATGAGAAAAAACCAAGAAAAATGTCTCTTGGCTCTAGAAGATTATCATCTGATATGCTAAGTGAGAGTTTTCCCCCCTTATCGTCGACAGTTTTTGAACCAAGAAGAGGATCATTCCCGAGTTCCCCGTTATATTATTCGTTTTCATCGCCTAAAATGCCGTCAGAACTTCCATCACTCTCAGGAAGGCAATGTAAAGTTCAACTTCCTCCCAGTTTTCCTTGTGTTACACCGCAAACACATGAAACCGAACCAGAGTCATCAACTGACAACCTTGACATCATAGGCTGGGAACAAGGGCAAATTAAAACACAAATTGATCGAAAACTGCACAACAACTATTTGGACGTACCCATCGCGAAACAGGCACGAAGACAATCTGAATCCTCTTCTTCAAGGGCATCGCCCAACTCAAGTGGATCTCGTTCCCTTATGGCATCCTCAGAATATCTGGCAATGAACGCCGCCTCCACTGAATACCTTGCTGCCCGAGTTGTCACTCAACTGAACTGCGCTTTTAAAGAAACTGTTGATGAAAGTCAAGTAGAGATCGCGACTAGGGAAAATTGTGTCACACCAAATTTAATGCCTCGCAGACACAGTGCCGTATTTTTTCGGCCACCCACCAGTAACGACTTCGCTGAAAAAGCGAAATCCCTCAACGTGCCCTCAATCCACGAGTACAGCAAAAGTCTGCCGAATTTGTATAGTCGAGACAAAACTAAACGAATGTTTGTGACTTTTGATAAAGATTTTCCCAATGTAAAAATTGTTGATTTAAAGGGGAAGTCTGATTTAGCGCACAAATGCCGTCGTATAAACCGCAGATTAGCCAATGAAGACTTGATGGTGAAGGCTATGCTCGAAGAGAAAGTTCACAAAAAGTCATTGATAAAGAAATGGGTTGTTTCTTCCACGGAAGGAAGTGATCTATAACTGACAGTTAAAGTTTGCAACACAGGGCGGATCCATGTTTACTTATGAGGGGGTATCTGATACTAATCGGCCACCGTAACAAAACGTCAAGAGTAATTTGTCCCATGGCGTCCCAAAATATTACAATTGATGAGGGATGAAGAGGAAACTGTACCGTAAATTCTCTTAACGCCACGAGAAATAATTTCATTATACCCTAAAATAGTGTAAACTGATAAACTGCAAATGAAAATACATGTTCTAACAAATATGTTAGTCGACCAAAAAGGAGAGTGACTAGCAAACCAATCCATCTTTCCTGGATTCGCCCCTGCAACAGTACCATGCCATTTTGTATCTTTTAGACTCAACTGTTTGTTGATGTCTTTGAAAAAAAGATTTCTTTACGACCCTTTTGAGTCGTTTTGCAGTTCAGGAGATTCCATTTAAGTAGCAAATTCATAACCACTGAAGAATGCCATTTCCTCATTGAGATCATGACAAATGCAGTAGCAGTTTTGCTTGAAATTCATATATATGTTTGACTCAGTGCAATTTATAACCTTTTGATACAGGTTTACAATCGACAATAAAACGCTAAAGAACTGTCACAACACTAGGGTGGTCATAAACCATTGTACATCACTTTTTTAATTAGCCATTGGCCATTTACACTTTTATAAGCGGTTAGCAATAAATCAGTGCATTAGGAGCAAGAAACTCACATTTGTTTTGCTTTTTCAGCATTGACACTATATAAAAACGCTACACAAGGTGTGGTTGTTCGTTTGTGTGCAATTCCTAACTTTAACCTAGTAACTGCTGAACAAGCTGTGATATCTCAGTTATTTTCTCTCTCTTACTTCGCCTGTCGAAGCGACAGTTATGATCGCCCTCTTGCAGCTCAAGTGGGTGCGTCCTTTCTGTTAAATAACGAATCAAAGTAACACAAAAACCTGATATTCGGATGTTCCAGCTCTACCATTTTAGCAGGAAACCTCCCGTTTTCAGCGAATATTTCCAGCCTCCCGTCTTCGCTTAATATTCTCCCGGTTTTTGAAGCTCTTCCTAGCCAAAGAAAGGTGATGTTTTCTTCGTGTAATCAGTCTTAATCAGCCAGATTCTTTGCCGTTTTTCTGTGGTTTCGTCTCAGCCATTTTTACCCTTTTGGCATCCGAACATGAGCCTGCGATAATTTTGGTCGAGGCACTGATGTGATAGGGACCAATAGGCCTTAGCTTTCACTGCCTGTTAAAAACTCCACTATTTTCATTTGAATGTGATCTCAAAATGCAGGAAATAGCGGCATCTTAGAGGCACATATCTTAAAATGTTTCCCGAGACAGCATACGCCCTGAACCTAACTAGAGGGCCGCTCCACAAACCACTTTTTTGACAGGGTTGGAATCTCTGGATATATATTAAGCCTTACGTTAAGCATGTGAGCATGCATTAAGCCTTTCAAATATGGAATATGCGCAAGAGAAAGGTTTTGAGAGAAAATTTAATTGTCAAATTGGTTTTACAAATATAACGAGCAATATAACAGCAAACACAAAGAGAACACAAAAATATAATTACGTACAATATAGCCTTTAACATTACACGGTTAAATCAGCCCTATTGTGAACAGTATTTGCTCGACGTTTACGTCACATATTCTTGGGACAAGTCACTACGAATTGAAACAACATACATTTAGTTTAGTGACATAATTTTGTAAGCGGTAACCACTAAGGAAACTGATGTGGTCTTCTAATGAAATTTAATACTACTCTCGTTCAATACTTGTTGCAATAACTCTCCGTTATTTTTATACAATTTTATTTTTTACCTAAGATTAATGGGCCAACTAAAAACACAGTGGCCTATTATAACGCTGGCCAATAATCAATTTTTGCCTCTGTAGCTGCCAAATTACAGTCAGTAAATGCTATCGACCTGTTTCAAAACACGTTATTTGTGCAGAGACGACAGTCAATCTCAGTCTATTGATTTACATTTGAAACAAAATCTTTCAGTTAAATACTCATTCAGCTACCTTTGCCACCAGGCCCTGTCTTTTCAAACAGGATTAGTGAAACCAGTTACGTTATCGATTGGATAGAGGATCAAGCGTTATCCATCTTTTGAACAACTGTGGCCAGATTTTTTATTCTCAAAACAAACAAAAAACTTGTTTTGTCTTAGTATTGCAAGAGAAAGATGATGTTAGTAAATCAGGAACTTGTGAAATAGTTTGCGAACTCATTAGCTCAAGGTGTTTTTTGTCTAAAGTTACTCTGCCGTTACATTTCAATTTTCATAAAAAAAAGGACTTTTAAGAGATGATTTTTCATAATAGTTACAATAGTCAGAAAATTCAATTTAAAATGTTGAAACGTAAGTAGATGGAGGTAAGAGATTCAATAGCCCTAGCCTGTGAGCAGGCTATAGTAAAAACGCCACTAAAATAGTAAATGTCAATAAATATTTGTTAGAACACGACTCACAAGACATTTCAGTGCAAAACACCCTGACAGAAAATAACAGCTGAATTTCTTCAATTCCTAATGAATTGAGGCCATTTCACTATAAAAAATATCCATTTTTTCCTTACAAATTGTAATATAACAAACAGTTTGGTGCCCTCAACAAGCTAAGTGACTTCCACTCTTTCAAAAAAAAACTTTTAAATCATGCACTTAAACTTTAGAGTTCACAAAATCCTTCGCTCTTACAATCGTGGGTATTGCAAGAGTGCTTGCTCGTTTGGCGTTTTGGCAATAACTTGATCCCACTACAGTCCAGTTCCCCAATGCCACACGAATACCAAGTTTAAGATTCAAGATTAAGTTGATCTAATTTCGCTGTACATTTATTGCACGTTGAATGTTGTATAAGTCCATTGTATAGTTTAATCCACGGAATTCCTTTTTCTTGATTGAGTTTTCCACTTTCTTAGTTTGTCCACTAGATGTTTATCTCTTGGCCACGCCCAAGCCCATCCAATTGTGAATCCCTTTGTTCGGTTTCCATGGCCAAGAAACACATATCTCCTGCCCATCTCAAGGAGCGTATAGAAGCTATGGGTAAAACGAGTGTAGTTATATTGTGACCAGATCTGAACCACACTTCCACGGAAGAGAAAACCATCTTTGACAATGACACGCGATACATTAAACTGAATGCTGTACCCTTTTGGTGCTAGAACTTGGATAATGGACAGGATTTTCCCTTTTATCGCTGTAGAAAAACAAAACACAAATTTTAACTACATTTTTAGTACTATAGTAGGGATGGAATTATCCATTTTTTTGCACAGGAATCTCATTAACTTGCAAGACTTACATCTATCTGAAAGCTGGCAAACCAGTTAAAAAAAGTACTTAAGTAGTAAAAATTACACATGACCTTATCGATCCACCGCATTTTTTCATGAGATAAAGACAAAAGACTATAAGATCATCGACGTTAACGTCATCCTGTGTAACTTAAAGAGATTCCTGCGCAAAAAGGGATAATTTCATCCCTACTTTATTACTAATATTAAGCCAAAAAAAATTAACCTGAGATCAGGCTCAATTTTCGTTTCGCTTTGTAACAACATTCCGGCGGGCAAGGCGAAACGAAAACAGAACCAATTTTAGCGGCAGGCATTAGAGAGAATGTATGAGAACCGCTAAAATTGGGCCTGATCTCAGGTTAAATAAAAATGAATGGTAGGATCTCTCATTGGTCACACAGTGTGACAGAATTCCCGAATGAACCTGAAAAACATTTCAAAATATAGATTGCTTTCGGAAAGTGATAAAAACGTGATCAAGAAGAAGTGATTCGCACGGTAGTTCAAACAACTTATATTGCTCTTTCTTTGTTCTATAACGAGCTCTAGTTTACCAATAAAGCTCTCACAATTACCATGTTTCATATCAAAATCCAGGACTACAAATTGTGTTAAGGAAGTGAGAGAAAGAGACGTACCAAAGTCAAAGTTGGCATTTAAGAAATCCTGCTTCTTGATAAATGCTTGTTCTGCCGAGGAAAATAACATAGATACGTTTAGAAAAGAAGTGATTGATTGGTTAGTAAAGATACACAGTCTAATCTTTATAGCAATGAGTATTATGGGATAAAGCTCAAGACCCATCTCTTTTAGGACGCATTCCTATAGCATTTCTTTTTAGCAGTCCTGAGGAACTCTTCAGATTTCAGCATTTCAAGAGTCAGTTGACAAAGCACCTTAAAACTAAGGCGAGGGCAAGGCTGCATTCTTAGTGACGTTTATTATAGTATTTTTCCCAGTTTTGAAGTTTTCGTTTCAGCATCATTTCACTGATCAGAATAATTTCGCTGATAATGATAATTTAAAACCCATTAATTGGCATATAAATAGGTTAGTTATAGAGCTGTAGTTAGCCACAGAAGTGAAAAGCCATATTTGTAGTTTATGGATTTACTGTAAATAAAATATTAAAATTATTGTCATTATTGCAAAAGAGGGGGAATCAGAATATCGAAGCCAGTCCAGAATCAAAGTGAACAACTTCTTTTGGGACAAAAAAAACACGCTAAAGAGAAATATAATCGCTATAATGGTGATGTTGAGAACCTTAAACATGAAGGCTCTTGCGTGAAGGTTAGTCTTATGTAACGTCTGTTTCTCAATATTCAAGCAAGAAACTTGTGATAAAATTGTGGTCATTGAATGAGCTCTGATTTGTTTTTTGTAATCGTGTAGCTGTGTTTTGATTTTCTGAGCAGATTTATTCAATCTCGGGTCACGTGACTCAATTCCCACGGTTTGTGATCAAAACATGTCTGCGTTTGGATATTTAAAATGGTTCATTAGAGACGGTGTCCAGAAATAGTAATCTAGAAGTAATAGTAGCGAGTAGAAGTAGAAGTCTACAAAAAAGCCGAGAGAATGTGTATTACTTTCTTATCACTTATTTTTTCTCTGTACTTGTATCACTACTGTGATTGACTTCAATTCTAATTCGAAAATTTAAGTTTGCTCGGAATTTCTACAAAAATTGCATCTTTTCAATTTGAGAAAACGTGAGTGATTAACTAAACTCATCTTTTTAACTTAAAAACACCATGTAAAGAAGAAATAAAGGGTAATTTTACCAATTACTGCGTGTTTGTTATCTTTATTACTATAGCTTAGTATGGTACCATGCCGGAGCTATAAAGGAGTAGCTGCAGTTTTCAAAGCAACATACTTGATAGACCAGTTCTTTCAACTACGTTACTTGGTGCACAATACCCCCGGGGGGGGGTTACTCCCTTATAAGGGCTTAATGGGGACGTGTGGCCAGCTAGGGTATCGATTTTATCATTTTTTTGTCTTAATCAGGGTATCGATTTTATCAATTTATGTCTTAAACAGCTGTAAATAGTTTTGTGATTGGCCGTGGCTTAAATGAGAAAGAGTTTCGATATTTATTATTGTCTGACACAGGGTATGGTTTCGGGTTAAATGTCTTAAAATCAGCGATTTTTGTCTTAAACAGGGTCAGGGTATGAGGAGCCGGGCCGCACCTCCCCACCCAAGGATATATCGAGTACCTCCCCCCTCCCCCGGGGACAATACCAACTGTGACTGCTGATTGCATGCGGTGTTATTAAACAGTATATTAATACGCAAAGGATTTATTTTTTAAACATAAATGTCTGGGGTAAACTATGTTTGTTCGGCAAGGCTCCAACCCCTAAGTCTTCTAATCCGCCATAATTGCTATGGGCGTAACTAAGTAAGTAAAATGCTTTTCAGCGCTTTCATGTGCCACTCACTGTTAGCTGCTATCCGGGTCGAATTTGGCTCTGCAAAAAATAAGGGGAGAACATAAAGACAATCAGCGAGCAGAAATAAAATGAAGAGTTCAGTGCTACTGAATGAAAAAAGATATCGGCATATATGTATTTCAAATCTCTGTCATCTCTAAAATGCATCTTAATTACATTGATGATCATCCAAAATTGAGCGCTATGATTGGCTAGGAGCGCGGTGATTATAACATTGAAGGCTAGCAGTTTTCAAAATAATGGCAGTCAGATTTGTTGATGTTTCGGTGTCGGAAATTGATCAATTTAAAGAAAATGTTTTCCTCAAAAAACAAAAGATGCTACAAAATTTGGAGTCAAGCTATTCCAAGGTAGGTTGATAAAATTTCTCTTTTGCAATTTACTGAAACCTGGTATGTTTGTTTACATTTTTTTGCTTCAAAGTGTCGGCAACTTTTTGTAACTATTGCGAAATATTTTGTTCTACAGAATGGTTTTAAGCGTAGCAAGAGTTCACAAATGAATGGAAAAAATGGAAGTCGATGAATTAAATAAATGTCTGGCAAAATTTTACGTTTCCGTGAGAAAAACCGACGGCAGCTATTATAAGAAAACGTTGTTGTCGATCAAAGCCGCCCTCGACCGACATCTTAAAGCCCCAAAATCGTTCAAAAATCTGTCTCTTTTTTATCTTATTTCCTCGAATAATCATCAATGTAATTATACTAAAACAATAATTGTATTAGTCGCCTCAGGCGACGTGAATATCGGCGAATAGTCACCGAGACGAATTCGAAGTCGAGGTGACTGTTCGCCGATATGTTATGTAACAGCAATAGGGCCCGTTTCTCGAAAGGCCCGGTAACTTTTCGGGTCCGAAGGCAAATTTTGAAATCAAAACCAGCTGAATAGTAGCGACGTTCCTACCTCACACGGGAAGATTTTGTTTTGTTAACTGATCGTTTCATATTATCATTTTTTAAATTATTGAAGCATTGATCTTGAATTCAAATCCGGCAAACAAAAAACAGCTTCAAGGGCCCGAAAAGTTATCGGGACTTTCAAGAAACAACAGTCCCCTGGGCCTTTAATTACAAACTCATAAGTAGGCTTCAGTCATTTTAAATGCCCCCAGGATAAAAACGTTGTTAAGCAAGGCCGTTATTTTTCAGATTTTCTTGTCGGGGATCTATGGTCTGGTCGTTCATACCCACCATCCAAACAAAAAAATCTTAACAAATGACACTTCGACTGAAGACAAAGGAAAATAAATCCTTTACTGATCTCCAGTGGGTGACTAGCGCTTGAGATTCCTGTCAAGGATTTGATTAATCGTTCAATGACGCTTGTGGTCTAACACGAAATATTTTAACACCTTTACCTCATTCCAATTTCTTCTGATGAGGTTTTCCTTTACGTTGATTTTTAATTTTTTAAAATAGTAATATTTCGATCAGACAACAATATAAGATGTAACCAACGGAATCAATCTAAAAGTATAAAGATATCCCCTGTGTATGCCTATGAAGATAAAAGGTATCTTTCCGTATTTGCTGCGGTACAGTTTGTAAAGATCTCTTTGAGTCTGAAAAACAATAAATTCACCCTCATTGCAAAATTGACGAGAAATTAGTGTTTTTGAATATGGTAAAAACTGTCTGAGTTTTTTGGCTCTTATCTTGCCAAAATATGGCATTGGAATAGGGTGAACTGAGTCGTCCCACACCAATTAAAACCCGCGGGTTAAAACCACTCTTGAAATTGTTTATGATAAACATTCAATAAAGAAGCCTAATGCCTGCTACACTTCTTACTTGCTGGTGAGTGGTTGAAAGCATGCGGGGTCACGCATACTCCCTGGTCGTAAGTTTTAAGTTTGTCGCATTCAAGTTCTGGAAGGTGCCGCAACAGATGTGATTCTTCTCCAGTCACGTCATCGATGGCTGCCTGGCAGTCTCTTTTCACTTTTTCACACACTGAACGGCAAGGCTTTATAGGCTTTGGAACTCGATTGTTTTCAACACATATGGGAAGATATAATGAACACACAAAGAAAAGCAAATCTTCCGAGCAGATGCCTGAGTTGTGCCGTTGGGCTAGGTCCAACAAAGTGCGATTTATAATCCACTGCGACGCTTGTTCAAAAGTGTTCGGTAGCTGGGTGCGGTTATATGGTAGTGATTTGCAGAGGCCAATGCGGATTTCCTCGCACATGGGAGAAGATGAAACCGAGATTGCATGACCATCGCTGAAAATTATCCCAGGGCAGAGAAGTACTATAGATACAAGACTGAGAGCGTTCATGTTTGCTTTATGGACCCTCGACGCATCTGGTCGGGTTAATGTTATCTTGGTGTCGTATCGATTGGCTTGTTTTTTCAAGATAAAACTGTATGTGTACAAGGTCAACGTATAGGGATTATACTTTACATATCAGATGATTAATGTTATTTAATCTTCAAAAGACAACTGCCAAAATAAACATCTGCATTTCCTAAACCCAAATAAGTCTATTTAGACTGTTTAAAGATGGTGAGAAATAGTTTATATATTCCCTTGTTATGTCTTGATTATGAGAGGAATTAAGATAAAAAGGGGGGATAGAAAGTTGTGGAAGAACTTTTTGTGCTACATGCCTTTTTTTTTATCTATTAAGATGTTACTACCCCAGTCTTGTACGCAAACCATCACGCAGGCACAACGAAGCTAATCTCAAATCAGACAATACGGAGTCTTCTGACAAAGGCACTTGAAAAAACTCCTCTACTATCTCTCTACTACAAGTGATAAGCTAAAATATTTCTGTCAAAAAGTTGACCCCTCCACCAGAAGGGATAACATTTTGACATGTTTCTAGTCTGTTCCAGGCGTTGAGACCGATGGGACGACGCAAAAAGAGGAAAACTAAGCAGAAAAAAACAGCACTCTGCGCACTCCAATATCAATAGCCTGGAACAGATAACATATTTCTGTTGACAGGTTCAAACTGAAAAGCACATTGATGCAACAGTTTTAAACAGAATATGACTTTCAGAGACAAGCCAGAATTTCACGATTGAGCCACAAGCTATACGCTTTGTACGTGTTCGACACAATTCCTACTTCATGACCTCTGCATTTCCAACAACTGTTTGCGCTCAAAGAGTGTCAGTCATCTGCTAAGCCAATTTACTTTGACATCTTGCCAGCACTGAAAAAGAGGATAATAATAATAATAATAATAGTCTATAAATGTTTAATAAGCCGTTCTGCAAATCTTAAAGAAAGGAAGAATATTTAGCAAGAGAGCAAGGTAATTTACAACTGGCTGCTTGAGATTGAATTATTCCATTAAAAAAAATGAAATCAAAAAAATCAAAATTGCAATAAGTCTGGGCTATCCCAATTCTTATTTCTACAACAAAAGATGAAATATGTTGATCTAATGGCTATATTTATCATTTTTTTATTATAAAATGTTGCCGCTTTTTGTCAATGCCAATGTTATTCATCATAAGAACGTGGAGCATTGATAATAATGATAATTATAATCATTATAATTTTTAACCAGGAGACTCTCTCACCAGGCTGATTTTCAGAGAGGTCCTGGGAAAAAAAATAATGTAAAAAGATTTAAAAAAGACACAAAAAAAATTCCTACACTAAAAAGTCTAAAAACCCAAACAATCACCACGAGCTATTCAAAAGATTAAAATATTAACGTTTAATAAAAAGACCCGATGTAATTTGATTTTGTTAAAAAGACGTAATACTGTTCTAGAGTTTAACAGCTTTGAAAATGATTAAAAAAATTCAGTTTAAAATACTCGATGTTATTTGATTTTCTTAAACACAATTGCTCCAGTCTTTAACAGCTTCAATTGGGGTTTTTTGTTTCAACAGTTTTTGGTTTCACGGGGCAGTCTCAAGTTATCTTTGTGTCGCGAGTGTATCGTAGCCGAGTACATCTTTTTTTGTCAATAGATCCATACTGTGGGCTGATATCTCAGTAACATATTTATAAACGTAAAGGAGTAGTAAAGGCAACGATGAAAACTCCTGCGTTTCATCAAGGTTAACCAGCCAAGGGCTTCAAGCGTGTCGGTAGCAGAGGAGTAGAAAGGGCGGTCTAATATAGTTTTGGCAGCCTTGTTCTGCAGGAGTTGTAAATTGTTGATGAGAACAGCATTGCCCTTATCCCCGCAAAAAATGTCGGCATAATCCAAGACCGGGAGAATGAGACTGTCATAGAAAAGAATAGCGCACTACGTGGGAGCAAACTCTTAATCCTCCTTAAAAGCCCTAAGAGTTCATTTATCTTCGTGGAAACATGCTCCGTCCAGGTAAAATTTGACGACAAAGTTACACCCAAGTACTTAGAGTGTCCAACGCCCTTAACGTCTGATACTGAGACAGATATAGCGATATCAGGACGCAATTTGCGATCGCTGCCGATAAGCGTGGACTTGGTCTTCTATATATTCAGTGTAAGCTTGTTTCGATTCAGCCACAAGCTATTTTCGATCTTTTATGTTAGAGTAGTTGCAGAACAAAATAGCATCAGTATTAACAGTATAAAGAGATACGCTACAGAGATTGACAACAGTAAGCTGTACGTCATTTATAAAAACAAGAAAAAGTGAGGGTCCAGGATGCTCCTTTGTGGTATCTCGTTGCCGCATGAGGTGTGCTGCTCCCTATGAATGAGGTAAGAATGAAACCAGTGAACAGCATAAGGAGTTAATCCCAGGGAAGATAAGTTGGCGAACAGGATACATGTACTGTAATCCACAGTATCGAAAGCCTTTGACAGATCCAAGAAAACAGCTCCACAGAGATTCCGAACCTCCATGTTAGTAAGAACGTCATCGGCAAAACCTGTTAGTGTGGTAACTAGGTCGGAAACCAAATTGCTTGTCTGTTAGCAAGTCTTAGTGGTTAGTGTTCAGGTAATCATAAAGTTGGAAGTGAACCGCTCTTTTGAAAAGTTTGGTTAGAGTTGGGAAAATTGAGACATTTAGTTATTTGGTGACTGAAAAACATATCGAGAAAGACGCACATTTCAGCAGCCGTGCACTGATTCTGTCCAAACCAATCGCTTTGTTTGGGCTTAAGGGAACGCAATTGCTTGAAAACAAAGGGT